AAACCTTGGTGACTTACGGTTTTGAGATCACAGACTCCATACAGGTGCTTTCTTGAGACAGCTAACAAAACAGAAGGCAAGCAGTACACCAACACAAGAAACACAACCAACCTCCACTGGATCATTTCCTTAACAGGGTCAAGCAATTTAAAGGCTAACAGGAGCAGAATGTGTCTATGCCAGGCAAACAGCCCATGCTCAAATTTAGCTTTTCACTTGCCAATTGAAACTCACCTTAAAACTGAAGCAAAACCAGTACCCAATGGATGTTTTACATCTGTAATGTGTGTGTCAGAGACGTTAACCATTTCTGTACTTCTCTAGCAGAAAGCAGAACTGCACGTTACTGATGAGAACCTGTCCCAGCCACCGAACATGCACGGCTCTGCACGCCTCCTCACCAGGACGTTCTCACACTGGGCTACACAGACAATAACCTGGCTCCCACAGCTGCAGCTGGCAAAAATCACAGAATCTGATGGCCAGAATGGGTGTCAAGAGGAACATTTCTTTAAGAAGGGAGTTCTAAACAAAGCCAAAAGCAGTTGTTGGTTACAGGGGAAGCAGCCAAGAGCCAGTTTCTGAGACTCAGGGCTCCAGTGAATACTTCGTTAAGTTTGTGCTTTCAACTGCCATTTTCTTTTTAAGTTCTTACCTAGGCACCAATCCCTTGGGTATTCAAAAAGCGGGTAAAAATACCCTTAACAGGGACACTGCAATCACAGAAGAAACCGTTAGGACAAAGGAGTCAAACAGGTAAACTGAACCATAGGCCAAAAGATATGCTCACAAAACCTGGGTCTCAGGTTTCAATTGTGCAATCTGATGTCGGGGATCTGGAGTAGAGTCAAGAAAGGGGAGAGACAAAAAGAAAAATTAGTTGAGGCACTAACTTGGTTTCTACTCTACAGAAACAGGAAACCTGGTCACAAATAAAACCTTAAGTCTCCAGTCTTGACTCAGAAAGCACCTGTGTTTCCTAATCCTGTACTACTCCAAGGGTCACGGGTTAACTATAGTCACCTTCCTAAGCACACCCTGGTCAAATGTCATTCTCCACACAAAGCATCACCATAGAAGCACTATTTCAAACCTCTAAGAAATTAATAAAATGGGTGCAAATCACATAGACCTGAGGAGCAGGATATGGTAGCTTACCCACATGACACCAGCACTTGGGAGGCTGAGGCGGGGGGATGCCATGAAGCAGAGGCCAGCCTGAGTTATGTAATGAGTTCTAAGCCAGTCTGGTTAACACAGCTGAAATTCTACCTGGAGAGGAGGGTAAAAAAGACAAAGGAAAAACAAAATGTAGAACTAAGTATGCTTAAAATAATCCAACAATCAAGAAAGCGTAAGTTGTAGATGCCATTTCCCACAGTTCACACTGTCTGACTACACTTCCCTATACGAAACTCTGAAGCCTCTACATGTACACTTGGGCCTAAATGACCTCACATAATGCAACAATCTGAACCAGGGATTGCTGTTACTTCTGAAGAACTGAGCATGCTTGGTGTTTCCTGAGTAGCCATTGATCCTATTACAAACCAATGGCAAACAAACAGGTGGCTTTGTCTACAAAGATGCTCAGAGAGGTTGAACCCGCCACCTCAACCAATGATCCAAGTCAGAATTACAAAATGAGAGCGCTAGCTGATGCAGACACACCTTATTGGCCCATAGGGCCAACACTCTGAAAATCTGATTTCCTATAAAACCTGGATTGCTGTAAGGGAGCAAGAGAGAACACAGCTGATGAGCCCAGGCTCACAGGTGCAGTGACAGACTGGAGTGACAAGCACCAACATCACTAATTCACACTGAGCAAGAGCTGCATTTCAGTCTTGGATGTTGATCCAATAAGCACAGCAAGTTTACCATGTGAAGTATCTTCAGTAAAGGAACAATGGAAGACGAGATCGTGAGTGCAGAAAGCTACTCTGGAGGCACACCTTCTACTTTTACCTTCAAAGGCCTTTCTTAGTAAGGACCACCCTCACTGAGATGAGAAACTAAGATGGTTGAAACCCTAGACTAAGTGTGTGCTAGGACCTAAAACAAGTTCTATCGACCTGTAAAGACCCTTACATGTCTCCCCACTGCTGTTCTTGTTGATTCTACCATGGTGGCCAATATCTTTATTTGAGGTCTTATGCTCTTCTATTCATTTAGAAAACAAAGCCAGAGCACATACTGAAGCAGAGGTCTGTTCATATCCAGTCATCGCATCTGATCATAAACCATCCCTACATCCCTCCAATGTTTAGTACATAAACTACATTCGTTTGTCAACCTTAACATGGGACCAAAGTCTTGGAGAATGTGCTGATGATTCAGAGTTCCTTCGTGACAGTCTCTCTGTTCCAGCTGTGCCACATCTACAAATGCAACATCTGCAAGTTACAGCCAGTTTCATTACAGGAGAAAGCTTTTGTGAAGCAATCTAGACACAGAATCTGAGACCACGGTTTCCTTTCTCCTGGCTTTAGTTACTTGAGCACTCCCCCATCCTATAGCTGGTATTTTAGCCACTCACCCTGTATCAAGTCATTCCAAAGATTCCAAGCTCATTTTCAGAGTAAAGTTTACCTTCATTTAGTCTGTTTATATAATATGCAAATTACTATAAAACCAAGATTTTCTGCCATAAAATTGTCTTGGAAATTAGTGGAACTTTTGGGCAGCATACAACTCATCCAGTCCCAGGAAAGCTCCGCTGACTGGATAGCAAGCCTCCTGGCACAGGGGGTCACCATGCTATATCCTCTGAAAACTACAGATAGCAGTGATCCTCAAAGGCAGCTGGTGAACCTATTATGCACACAGCACTGGACAACAATGAGAACACACCTGACCCTAAAGAACTGTAATCTAGCACAGGAGGGAAGATGCATTCCCCAATTAGCCGTTAGTACAAAGTGGAAAGTAAACCATGGGGATGAAAAACTAGTGCACACAATGGGAATACTGTTGTCTACAGTATTAACAGGGTACTTGATACCTGTTTAAGGTAGCAAGCAAGTTGAACTTGAAGGTTTTCATGGAAACAGTGTGTAATATAGAAAGGGAAGACATTCCAAATAGAGAAGCAATGTGATACATGCATGAAGAATGTAACAGGGAATTATAGATACAGAGATCCACAATTCCGTTACTCAGCATCTGGAATGGAGAACACAGGTAGTGAGGATGTCAGGAAAACAACAGGCTGGAATTACACTAGAGACCACTATGATGTCACATTTCACTCTGTCTTCTGAGAAAAGTGTGCCCTACCTAATTCAACAGGTGTTCACACTATCAACCAGTGTGAAAACCAGATACCCAATGCCACACAATGCCATTTCCTTATTAAAATTCATCTCAGGTTTGTTAAGGCATTTCAAGAACAAATACCTTTGCACTCCAGTAGTGTACTTCTGAGTACTAACTGTTCACCTCAGTGACACCTGAGAAGAAACCACTAAGAAATTGCGAGAATCGAGAATGCTCATCTAAGGCTGGAAGCATACGGGACTGCGACTGAGGAAGAGAACGTTTCAACCCCAGGCAACAGGAAACAGACAAGTTCTAAAGCACCAGCAGGCGATTCTGGGAACCACAATCCACAGTTTGGAACCACACTGCAAGTTTGCAATGCCATGGTGATAGCTAAGGTCTGTGACAAGCAGAGGGAAAAGCCAGTCAGGGGCCTGATTCAAACACCACTCACCACCTAAACGGTCAAGGTGCAATTCTGTAAAAAGAGGGAGAATCGAAGAAGGAAAGTCAGAAAACAGTACCACAGAAAGCCAAGAGAAACGGTGAGCGCAGAGAACTGTCTGTACATTTAACCCAAAGGCAGCAAGTCCTACCTATAAAGAACTGGGTGACAAGCTGAACAGGGTGTCCCACTTCAACACAACCTCACGGGTACACTGTGACATCGGGACTTTCCTCAATTCCATACAAGCCTAAACTACAGCTCGTTTTTCAAGCATTCAATGTAAAACCCTTCTTAGCACACTGGCTCTAGAAAGGGCAGGTGGTGGGTGAGCCAGCTTGCCAGTCTCCACTTTCAGAGTGGCACTAGGGTAGGAGGGACAGAGTCACTGTCCAGCAGTTTTTCTTTTATGCAAATTGACAGCTTATCAGGCATGTATTTAATTCTTTAAATTTGATTTCCCTAGACAAAAATAATTACATGTGTTGACAACAAATCTGATAGTTTAACAATATGGTCTTCTTAAATGAAATATTAAAAGGAGGTACTCTTTACTCTTCAATATATAAACTCATGAGAATACTAAACAAATTCTACTATAAAGCCAGTGACTAACTAGGAAAAATCTGACCATTAACCAGCTGCCAAAGACTGTTACACCTATAAACAATCCCAGTGACAGATATTCTCCCTCTCTACTCTTCCTTCCGCCTCCATGTCCAGTCAAACTTCTGTACCCCAAATCTCAGATAAATCAACTAAATATGAGAAGCACAACATCAGCACTGTATGGAAAGTGTCTTTACAAATCATCTCTCACTGCTTTGAACATTTTAAGGAGAGTCTATAGTGAGAAGACTTAGAAAATCTACACATAAATACAACCTAGACTTTTCAACCCTACAGTGAACATTAGTGAGTCCAATCAGGGTGGAATGTGAAGTCTGACTGGAGTGTCCAATATACAAGCCATGTCTGATAAAGACTCCTCACCCCAGGCCATTCCTTGTTCCTTAGCTCAGGGCAGGAAGGGGCCCCTTCTTCTATCACCTGCTGCTGCAGAGACCTGGAACTGAGACCTGGAACTGAGGACTTCCATGGCAAATCACAGTACAACACTGTTGCTCACAAAGCCATTTTAAGATGTGTAGCTTCAAGCAGAGCACGAAGGAGTATTCAAGAGCCAAACTAAGCTGCTGTGGCTGGGCCCAAAAGACAAAGGAAATGACTGACAGCTGGGACACCACCCCCCCCCCCTCAGCTTCTGCACCAACTAACAACAGAAAAAGCTCACCACGTCCTACTTCTCAAGTGTGGTCAGACCAGCCACGCTACAGCGGCCAGGCAGGCCGGCCAGCCCACCTCTGAGTTCTGAAAGGCATCACCATGGTAACTGGTTCCAGCATTCCTTCCGGAATATCCTAACCTAGTCACAACTCTAGAACATCACAAAACTTTGGCCAGGTTGTCTTATCAAAAAGGCCCAGGTAAAAGAAACTGTAAGAAACTTTTGAGCTCCTAACTTAGAAAATCAGTGCTCTGCATCTTACAAAGTTCATTATGGACAGACACAGTCTTCTATGTCTAACTCACGGGGCACCACAGAACCACACCGACACACTACTGAGTTACTGTAAAACAGAAGCCGCTTTTCACTGAAATTAAAAATGTGGAATGTGAACATAAGAATGTTTTAATGAGATAACCATTTTACCACCACTTGTAGTATCTCTGTGGCTCTTCTGAAACAGTTTCTTGTGCCTTCCAGGCAGGCTTCAAACTCACTCCGCAGGCAAGGATGACACTGTACTGATCCTCCTGTCTCCACTACCCAAGTGTTGCCATGACAGACATGTACCACCACACCATTCAATCCTGATTTTTAAAACTCCGTATATATAAAAGGACGTATAAATGCTATCTTATTGTACAGCCACTCATTTAGTATTAAACTAGTTATTATTTAAATCATTCGTATGATTTAAATCACATGACAATTCTTGAGTAATGATAACATGATTAAAGAAATGTATTTCCCCAGGGCTGTCACAAACCTATCCCAACTGTGACCAATCTTCTGACCTAACAACATGTTTCTGAACTATGTGACGAAAGAATATTTACATACTGCACGGATTTCTCTTCTAAAAATTTCCTCTTCTACATCCATTCCAGATATTAAAAAACACAAACAAAAAATCCTACAGAGTCCTTTGGGGCTGGGGTGTGGTTTTATCAGTTTGTATCCACAACTATCTTTCATCTGCCTAAATTAAATAACTACAAAGTGAAGGTGAACAGCTCTCTTCCCAGACTCCAGAGAAGTTCATGGCCCCACCCCTGTAACCCACCTGAAGGGTCCTCTGCAGGTGGAGGTGACCGAGAGGAGAGCACTCACCACCCACAGGCAATCCTCATTAAAAGAGAAGCAGGGACCTGCAGCTTGGTGCTCCCTCTGCAGCTCAGTGCTCCCTCTGCAGCTCAGTGCTCCCTCTGCAGCTCGGTGCTCCCTCTGCAGCTCAGTGCTCCCTCTGTAGCTCAGTGCTCCCTCTGTAGCTCAGTGCTCCCTCTGCAGCTCAGTGCTCCCTCTGCAGCTCGGTGCTCCCTCTGCAGCTCTGTCCTTCCGGAAGCTCCAGGAAGCCTGGGGTAGGAGGGCTTCCCAAGCCCATGTCAGGTCTCTTTATGAAGACCATCTAAGGCTGTTCTAAGCAACCACTTTTCAGAAGGCCTGACAGCATCTTCAAAGCCCAATTTCATGATCACCTGTCACTCTGCCATATCCAGAGAGGAGCCACATTTTTACCTTGCTTTTTATGATAGAGAATACAGAAATTACAACTCTTTAATACATTAAAACCCAAGCCCAACAATCTTGAGAGGACTGTGGTCTGCACATAAACTCACAAACAAAAACAAGGGCTCATAGTGATCAACCCCAACTACGAAGTGAGGAGACCACCCGAGAACTGCTACCTTGAGCTCTCAGCCTGAGACTCTCACAGGACCCGGCTGCAAAGGCACTATGGGGGTGTCAACAGGTATCTTTACATTTAAACCCTGAAAGCACCTGTAGTGAGTCAAGTTTGAGGACAAACACAATACAATAAAAGTCGTAACAGGGAAAACAGATTAAGACTGTTTCGTAGTCAAAGAGAACAAAGCACAACTCTGGAGGCAAAGGCTGGGACGCCGGCCTCTCAACTCCGTTTCTGCTAGGATGCTGAACTTAACTCAAAGAACACAAAATGCCTGGAGGACAGAAGGAAAGGAAAACACTGTCTCGTTACAGGGAGCACTACCAGGTATTCAACACGCAGTTCAGAACTGAGGGTTCAGAGCCTTCCTGCCGCAGCAGCAGCAAACTACCCCCACGTTGGAACTGTGGCTTCCCGATGCCTGCTCTTGCGGTGCGAGCCACCGAGGCATTTCACATTAAAACAAGTGCCTTTTTCCTTTACACCCCCAACATCCTGTTAGAATTCAATTTTCTAAAATTGAAAGCAAACAAAACTGTCGAAAACCTGCACATCTTGGTTCCTTGCTTACAAAGTCAGAACAAAAACCTGAGGTTTGTTACTGTTTAATCTTAGCTTCTTTGGGTCAGATGTCTCCTCACAACACTGTTGAGTTTAAGTCCTGCCGCTGGCTGGTGCCTTCTCCACCCCACTGTCCCCCTTACCCAGGGTGTTTGAACTCTCTAAGCAAAGACTGTTGAGCAGGGTATTTTAATCAAACTACACTCAACTTCTGAATTAGAGTGAAAAAATACACATCTACACAGTAAAATACATTTAGCTAATACACTGGCAACCATGCTAAGCAAGACTGTACTCTTTCATTCAAAGGATTACAAAATTATGTCTCCACACTACCTCCTTAGAGATCACCTGCTACCTTACACTTGCCTAAGACGAGATGAAAAGGGATTTTAGTGGTCACATTTTTCAGTCTCTAATATCACCTAACAAGTATAAAGGGAGGCTCAAACTATTTCTACTTAATCAGAATGGTCCCTTTTAACACTCTGCACCCACCCCCACCCACCCCCGTTATTCCCATCCTTTTAACGCCGTATAATCAAAAGGGGAAGGAGGGTAGAGGAAGTGTATTACACCAAGAGGTGAAACAATACAAAATTCTCCCGGAGATGGGGAGCAAGAAAGCTTGGGGACACAATGGCATGCTGGCCAGCCCTCCGGACCATCAGGTGGCTCTCTAGTCCCTTCCCAGGCAACCTTGTATAAGGCATACCTAACATCTCTTCACGCTATGTGACTGTTAGCCCATGATCCCGGGCTTCAGTTGGTTCAAACTGAAGTTACCACTTGAAACTGACCCAGAGCCCACATCATGCCCGGTGCTGAAGGAGGCTGCTGCTTCCAAAGCTCAGGCAAGGTGCAACGATGTTTTTGTTTTGTTTTGAATTATACCTGCTGGGGAAGGAGAGAGCATAAAAGCACACTACGTTACCGAATTCTCTCAGAAGAATGGGGATTTCAGCGACGATGCCTGACTCACAACAGAGGACCAGAGGACGAAGAGAGCTGCCTCCGCCGCCGACCCCAGTCCGTGACCCGGCTGCTGGTGGCTTATCATCCCTCCACACCTGAAAGTCCCTACCTCAAGATCAAGCAAAAGCTGGGGGGAGACATGTCTTCGCAAGGCGCAAGCAAGGCCACAACTTGAATGAATGAAACTGGGCTAAGGGTACCAGGAGCAGGATTTTCGCTGAAGTCAGAAAAAGAGAGGTCAAAAGATTTTTTTTTTTTTTCAGTGTGACAGCGGGGACAAGCGTGTGGGGTACACAGCCGGCACCGACAGGCTTTGGAGGAAGGCTGTATTGATCACAGACGCTGAGGACAGGCGATCGGGGCGAGCGGCCGGCGGGGACCATGAGCAGCTTCTCGACGCGTGCGAGCAGAGCGGGGCTGGCCTGGGCTCTGGCGTGTGTCCTCCCGCGGGTCCTTCCACCAGACTCCAGAGGGCCGGGGTCCGAGGCCCGCCTCGCCCCCTGCGTGCTTGGCACACACACACACCCCTCCCGCTCCCGCGACCGCGCACACGCGCGCGGGCGCACACACACACATACACA